TTTGGTCCTCTGCAAAAACAGTATAAGCTCTTAACCACTAAGCCATCTCTCCAGCCTTTTTCCCTTTTTCCTTTCCTCTCTCTCTCTCCCCCTCCCTCCCTTTTTTTTTTTTTTTTTTTTTTTTAGGTAAAAATCTCATGTATGCCAGGTTGGCTTTGAACACACATAGCTAAGGATGACTTTAAACTGTGGTTCTTACTTCCATCTCCCCATGCCTGGGTTATGCAGCACTGTGGGCTGCACCCAGGGTTTTGTGAACGTTAAGCAAGTACTCTACTAACAGCTACAGTCCCAGCTCTACTTTCTAATTTGCTATGTAGCCAAGGATGACCTTGAACTCCTAATTCCTGAGACTCTACCTCCCAAGTGTAAAGATTATAGGCCTGTACCACCAAGACCAAGCCTGGCTTTGGATGGTTGATTTCAAGGGACAGAAACCCCGGTCTAACGGACTGAGGCAAACAAGAATTCATCAGCATGTACCACTACAGTCCAGTGGGAAGCTAAAGCCTCAGGCAGACATAGCTGGATCCAGCAGTTCCATGGTATTCTCAGGGACAGGGTACTCCCTGTCCTTACTCTGCCACCCTTGGATTTTGACAGTCCCCTCCCACATAGTTGTGTCTCCAGGGCATAGGCCCATGCCTGGCACACAGTCCAGGCAGCTGTGGTAACTCCAGCCTCACTCTTCCCAGATTTGGAAGCCCAACAAAAAACCCTCTCCTTTGATCAAAACTCTAGTCTGGACTTCCAGGTGTCTGGTGGGAAGTCTCATCACCCCTGAGGTGGTCCTAGGGCCCGAGGGTCCCACTACTCTCACATGGGCAAATCACTATCCCACATCCTCTAGGCTCTGAAGTAAGGGCTCCTCCCGCCCCACCTGCATGGCTAGGCCAGAGCCCTCCATTCCATCACCACCTGAAGCCTGGTTCCTGGAGGATGCACAGTCAACCTCCTCGGGAGCAGCAGGCACTCACTGAGTACTGAGTAGCTGGGACCGTGGTGAAAGGAAGGGTTGGGAGAGCCTGGGGTCCAGGCACAGAGCAGGGTACTGCCCACACCTGCTCCAGGGCCAGCCTTTATTGGAAGTGCTGGATGGAGGCAGTGGTCCCAGAAGGGCAGCTGTGGAATTTCTACCTACTGGAAGCAAAGGAAGGGGCCCCAGTCCCAGCAATGCAGCTGCTTCTTCACACTCAGAATGGAGCTTTCAGTTCCTCTTGATCCCTGCTGAGCACAGGGGGAACGGGAAGTAAAAAGAGAAGAGAAAGCAGATCCCTGTCCTGCTGCAGCCTTGTGCTGGGTTTGTCAGCTGTAGTTTGGTGGGACCAGAGCTGTCCTAATGGGGATCTGTCCCTGCCCACTGTCCTGGCCTCAGGCTGGCTGGAGGGCTGAGTGGTGCCTGGGACGGAGGGCATAATGTCTCTGTAAGGAGGGGAACACAGCTACCCTGAGTTTCTCAGGCTCAGAGATGGTGGATAGCTGGCTCTAAGCCACACAGCAGGCTGCTGGTGGGTCTTAGCCTGACTCAGAAGGAAGCCTATTCTTGACCCCACCATCCTGTACCTTTGCTGCTAAATTCTCAGGGCTGGGGTACAGCAGGGGGGTTTCCCAGCTTGGTTTCCCAGCAGGCAGGCAGTCCAAGCCTGGAAGCCTCATCCTAGGTCCAGCAGGAACAGGGACCTACTGGTAGGTGGTGACTCAGGCTTCCAGCTCCTGCCTCTGGCCCATAGGCTTTCTCATCCCTCTAGACATGGGGGGGGGGGGCAGTCAAAGAGCATCCTGAGACCCCAGGCACATTGAAGCTAGCTGTTCTTCCTGGTGTCTACATTCAGTTGGTGCTGCTGCAGAAATGACCATGTAGTTGTGATCTGGACTAAGAAAAGGAAGCAAGTAGAGGTTGTCCCTCAGTGGAGTACAGATAGGTAGAGGATCCCTGGCATTGGGGTGATGGCCAGACACTCAAATGGCTGCTGTAAGCTATGTTGATAGGGTGATATTCAGACAGAGGTCTGGGCTTGTTGGGATGGATAAATGGGAGGAAATCTAAGGAGGGCCAGGGGAATGGAGCTAGGGACATGTCCCAGGCTTGCTCAGTGTCAGCCTGAAAGGAAGCCTCTGCAGCATGGGCACTAGCCTTGCCCTCATCAGCTGTCCACTAGCGCCATCTCATGGCTGCAGGCTCTCACTGCAGGGATGACTCAAGTCCCCTGGAGGAGCCACAACCTTGTAGAGGTGTGACCCAAGCCTTCCCCAGGGTCAGCACCCCATCTTCCCTTGGACCTTCAAAGTTTCCTCAACACTGACTGACCCTGGGTCACAGGAGACTGTCTTGGGAACATCACAAGGAGCTAGCTACTGGGAAGAAGGCCAGATCACCAAGCCTGCTTGGATCTCCTGGCACACACCCAAATAAACCCTAAGTTTGTACACAGCTGGCCAAGTGTTTACCTTAAGTTCAATCCTGATCCCACTTTGGTTCAAAGTTTCAGCTCTTTCTGGTTCCCCAGTCCTGTAAAGTGGGCTTGGGGTAAGCTAGTGCACGGATGGCCTCTATGTTCTAGAGTGACATCTACAAGTGACAGAGTTGGAAGAGTACTGCCTATGGTATCTCAACATGCGAGAGGCAACTGTGACATTCTAGCCAGCAGCTGAGAGGCAGATGGGAATGGGAGCTGAGCAGGAGATAAGCCCCGCCCCCCACTTACCAGCTTGGCATTCATTCCCTGCACTGCCCTACCCCCACACCTGCCTCAGTGGCTCCCCACCAAAGCCCATCTTCAAGTCACCCTCCCTGAGTGTCACCTCCTCCCTGAAGAACAGTGAGGAGCCACCTCCTGTCCTCTAGCTGTTCCAACAGCTCCAAAGCCTCATTTCTGTACCCATCACCACACCACACTCACTCACATGAACCTGGGTCTTTGAGTAGAAGTGATTGTGACGGCTAATAGGGGTATGTGTGGGGGGAAGATGATAGCATACAGTAGGTGCTTAATAAAGGCTTCTGGCAAAGAGGACATGTGGGAAGAAAAGAGTGAGAAGTAGCTGGGTAAGCAAGTACCTAAGTGGATTGCCATCTCAAGAGCAGGAATGTCAGTAGATGACATATGAAATGAATGGAGTTGGAGGATGGGTACAGGAGTTTTGGATTAGAGAACCGAATGGATTCCTGGTGACTCAGGTGTTAGGGAAAGACCAGGAACTGTGATAACCTATCTCAGCCCATTTAACAGATGAGAACACTGAGGGAGAGCTGGGTGGAAAGGCATCTGCTGGGTCTGAGGGCTGGGTCTGCTTATCCCCCATCTCTCTTTCTGTACCCTGTCTCCTCCTCCTTCTGTGACTGGAGACAGTTCTGGGAAGGATGCCTTTTGTTCAGCTCTGTTCCTCCAGGCTGTTTCCGCCAGGCTAAGGTGGGGGGGGGGTGGCAGGGAGGTGCCCCCCAAGGGCTATTTCAGTCAGAGCCAGCAGGGTCAGGAAGCAGAGGAAGCTGTCCAAAGTCACGTCGGAGATGCGACAGAGTGGCTGAGAACAGGAGCGTGGGCCGCACTGTGTCTAAGTGTCTTTTGCCCCAATATACTTGGTACCATCGACCTATGATGGTGAGTGTCTGTGTCTTGAGGAAACGGGCCAGTATGGGGTGGGGCGGGGTGGTGGGACCCCTTGGCAAGCTGGGTGGGTCTGTTCAGCTGGGGACTCAAAGGAGGGATGAGGTGTGGGCATGAGTTTGGGGGTACTTATTTCTGAGCTTGGGGGTGCTTAGGTTATGGCTAACAGAGGATAACTGGGAGCACATCTGTGAAAAAATCAGCAAAAATGGACAGGCCAGAGAGGATGCTAGGTCTCAGTTGCAGTGGCTGTGCAGTGTTGAAAACAGGGTGATGACTGAGGAAGAGTAGGAATGAGGGGACCTTCAGACAAAGCCAGAACGCCAGGAGATGAGCTTAGGTGTTTCCCTGAGAGCAGAGGATCTCTCAAAAGTTCCTACTAGAGGCGCAAAAGTGGAGTCCAGAAGGAAGCTGGGATTTGAGCTAGTGTAGGACTTAGGGCCCAAGAATAGATGACAGACATGATTGCCAACACCAGTTGCTGCTCACAGTTGGGATCCAGGAAGCCCCCCTCTAGTCACCTCCTGCAGGAGTGGGAACACTCAGCTCCCTTGGTCCTCAGAGACAGGGAGCAGAAGATGCCTGAGGTCTACTCAAAGGTCAAAGGTCCTTTGCTGGGGGGATAGCATCTTAGAAAGACCAGTTTCCCCACAGTGCCAGAGAAGCAAAGGCCACTACAGTTTCATCTATGCGTGGCCAAAGGCTTTCTCTGGGAGTGTGGTCAGAGAGTCACAGGCCTCCCTAACAAAGGACAGGGACACAGCCCCTTCTGCCCAAGCCTCCCACCCTGTCCCCACTTGGGGTGTCCTTCATCCCTGCTCTACTGATGAAAACTCTCCTCAGCCATCAGGACCATCACTCTCCAGGGAAGGCTTATTTATTTATTTAACATTCACATCTAGTTTCCATCTCTGCAAATGCTCAGCCATCTCGATTCCTGATTGATTTTCCCTTGAGAACTGGAGTTTCATTCTGGCCACTGGAAATCACCTCTGGCTTTCTGTTGTTGCTTATTTCTATACTTTTTTGTGTGTGTTGCCTGCTTGTATGTCTGTGTGAGGGTGTCAGATGCCCTGGAACTAGGGTCACAGACAGTTGCATGTGGGTGCTGGGAATTGAACTGGGATCCTCTAGGAGAGTAGTCAGTGCTCTCAACCACTGATCCATCTGCATGAATGCTTGTGCATGCTCATGTGTGCGCAGACACCAGAAGCATTGGATCCCTTGAAGCTGGAGTCACAGACCCTCCTGACTTGTGTACTAGAGCAGCAGCTGAATGACCAAATTGCTCTAGCCTCCTCCCACACCCCTCACCCACACAACCCCACCCCATCCCCTAAGGTTCACTGGAAGGAAGTTTCCTGGTTCCCCTGCGTCACCTCTCCTGTTCTACAGACAAGCTGTGACTGAAAGAACGATGGCTTTGGAAGGTGGAATTCAGGCTGAGGACGCTGGCATTCCCCTCAGTGAGCTCTCCGTGTGTGCAGTGTCCACAGGGGCAAACTAAGAGCCACAGTCCTGGTCCCAACCTACCTTGAAGACGTACTTCCTCATAAAAGGTCTCTCTCACCTGCATGAGACAGGTACAAAGCATTACCACAGCCCCCCTCCCCCAGGGAGCTCAGGAAAAGTCCTCCAATATTCTAACCTAATGACAACATTCCCTTCTTCCTCTGATAGGGTGAATGAGGAGGTAAACACCCCTCCCAATATCATGCTGGCAGCAAGCAACACAGCTGTGATTTGAACCCAAGCCCATTAACCCCCTCTCATAGAAGAGACAATTGACCAGAGTTGTGAGGGATGACTAGAAGTTCATTGGGGAAAGCTAATAGGAAAATAAATACTGGAGAAAGAAACTGACTGATTTTTCTCAAGCTTGAGCTTTATTGGAGTACACACTTCCATGATATGAGATCTGTGTGGATCTTTATGGGGTGATGAGCCTTAAGGGGCAACAAAGTTAAGGACTTATTTGTTCAGATAGTTCAAGGCATAGGGCCAACAAGGGTTGCCAGTGAGCAAATCACTGACAGGGTGTGTATTACTTCCCCAGTTTCTCCAAGCACAGGAAAAGCAGTTGGGCAATTATGGAGCAGGACAATGGCACCACCCAGGCACAAGGCTTGCCGCCCACCACATGCGTCTACCGTGAAGATTTCAAGCGACTGCTGCTAACCCCAGTATACTCAGTGGTACTGGTGGTCGGCCTGCCGCTGAACATTTGTGTCATCGCCCAGATCTGTGCATCTCGACGGACCCTGACCCGGTCAGCCGTGTACACCCTGAACCTGGCACTGGCAGACCTGCTGTATGCCTGCTCACTGCCCCTACTCATTTATAACTATGCCAGAGGGGACCACTGGCCCTTTGGAGACCTGGCCTGCCGCCTTGTACGCTTCCTCTTCTATGCCAATCTACATGGTAGCATCCTGTTCCTCACCTGCATTAGCTTCCAGCGCTACCTGGGTATCTGCCATCCTCTGGCACCCTGGCACAAGCGTGGGGGTCGCCGTGCTGCCTGGGTGGTTTGTGGAGCCGTGTGGCTGGCTGTGATAACTCAGTGTCTGCCCACAGCAGTTTTTGCTGCCACAGGCATCCAGCGCAACCGCACTGTCTGCTATGACCTGAGCCCACCCATTCTGTCTGCCCGCTATCTGCCCTACGGGATGGCTCTCACGGTCATTGGCTTCTTGCTACCCTTCACAGCCTTACTGGCCTGCTACTGTCGCATGGCCCGCCGCCTATGCCGCCAGGATGGCCCAGCAGGACCTGTGGCCCAAGAGCGGCGCAGCAAGGCGGCACGTATGGCCGTGGTGGTGGCAGCTGTCTTTGCCATCAGCTTCCTGCCTTTCCACATCACCAAGACAGCCTACTTAGCTGTGCGGTCCACACCCGGTGTCTCCTGCCCTGTACTGGAGACCTTCGCTGCTGCCTACAAAGGCACTCGGCCCTTTGCCAGTGTCAACAGTGTACTGGACCCCATCCTCTTTTACTTCACACAGCAGAAGTTCCGGCGGCAGCCCCATGAACTCCTGCAGAAGCTCACAGCCAAGTGGCAGAGGCAGAGAGTCTGAGGCCTCAGGGCAGACCCTGAGGTATTGGTAGCTGTGTATTTGCCATTGGGGCCATGGTGCCAGAAGCTTCCCCCACAACCCCAGACCATACAGAGAAGAAAAGCTTGGTTCAACAGGCCTGGGCCTGGGCCTGGCCCTCAAGAAGTTCTATCTATGCCAACCACAAAGCTAAGACACCTACGTTTCGGGACTGGTCGATTCATGCTTGTTATCCCAGAACTCAGGATGTTATGATAGGATTACAAGCTCCAGGCCAGCCTGGCCTGCATGGTGAAACCCTGTCTCAGACAATCCAGAGTTGGGGTTATAGCTCAGTAGCACATGCCTAGAGTGTGCTAGCCCTGGGTTCAATCCCTGTGAAATTCAACAAAGGTCTTCTCCCCCAACCTTTCTTGTTTACAACGTGGAGGGGAATGCTGGTGCAGGATCATGAACATGAAGCAAGGTCTTGCTCCCTGGGACCCACTTCTTACAAGGAGTAAGAAGCTGGGGGAAGCTCATGGTCCCATTCATTTGCTAAGACTTTTGCATAAGAGAGATAAATAAATGTGATTTTTGTGGGTTTTGTTGTTCTGTTTTTAGGTCATGCCCCTACCTCCAGGCAAAGTGAATCCTTTAGTCAGATTTCATCACCCCCTAGGTAAAGGCCAAGCAGTGATTTAATTGGGATATGGATCAAGATATAGGTTGGAACTTGAAGGGAATTAAGAACCTTAGGTTGGAAATACCCAAGAGGCATCTTCTTCCCCCCCCCCAACACACAGGGTTTCTCTGTGTAGTTTTGTGTAGACCAGGCTGGCCTCCTAGAAAGCATATTAAAGATGACAGATGGCCAGATGGCCTGGGAGGGTCAGCTCCAATGTGGCTTGTGGCTGAGGGTGAGAACAAATGTGTTATATAATAGAAAACCTAGGTTACCCAAACCCACGGCAGGGATAGCCTGGCTTTCACAGTGCCTTCTAATGTTGAATCCTTACACACTTCCATCACAAACACCTTGCCCATGAATTCTAAAGTTATATGAAACTTCATCAATACCTGAATATTCATTAAGATAATGGATCAATACACTAGAATCATGCATCTAGAATCAATTATACTACTTAAATCTTAGCAGTATAATATTAAGGAAGAAGTTTCTCCAAATTATCTGCAGGCAATGTCCTTTCTATGACATTATAAAGAACTAAAGCAGAGCCGGATGGCTCACAGCCTGTGGGAGGCCAGCTCAGGCTACATACATAGTTGAGGTGAGCATGAACTATGACACTTGGTTTCTTTGCCTTTCTCCCCAACAATTTTTAAAATTACATTTTATTTATTGTGTGTGTGGTGATCAGAAGACAACTTTCAGGAGTTGGTTCCTTTCTAATGCGTGGATTCCAGGGATCAAACTCAGGTCAGGCTTGGCAGCAAGTGCCTTTACCTGCTGACTTACACACTATTTAAAAAAACTAAAGAATTCCAGAAGTCTATTCGCATGAGGGACTGAGGCAGAAGGATTGAGATCAAGGCCTGACTAGATTACAGAATGAGCTTGGAGCCATCTTGAGTAACTTATGGGAACCCTTTCTCAAAAAAAAAAAAAAAAAAAAAAAAAAAAAAAAAAGAGAAGACATGTGCCAGGGATAAGGTTCTGTGGTATAGAACTTGTCTAGTATGTATGAGGTCCACAGTCCAATCCTAGCAAAAACATAGATACACTCTCTCTCTCACGCACACACACACAGACACACATACACACACAGAGAGAGAGAGAGAGAGAGAGAGAGAGAGAGAGAGAGAGAAAGGAAACTTAGAGGCATCCACGTGGGACATGATAGGGCACACCTTTAATCCCAGCACTTGGGAGGCACAGACAGGCAGATATCTGTGAGTATGAGGCCAGTCTGGTCTATATAGTAAATTCCAGGCCAGCCAGATCTACATAGTGAGAGCCTATTAAAACAAAAAAAAAAAAAAAAAAAAAAAAAAAAAAAGAGAACTGGAGAGACAGATTGGATCAATGGTTAAGAGTACTGGCTGCTCTTCCAGAGGATCAAGGTTCAATTCCCAGCACCCATATGGCAACTCACACCTGTCTGTAACTCCAGTTCCAGAGCTTCTGACATCCTCACATAGACCAATGCACATAAAGTAAAAATAAACAAATCATTTAAAAAGTAAACAAAGAAAAAATCCAATACATGCCCGTAATGACCCTCAGCAATCTAGAGGCTAAAGAACAGGAAGCTGAAGCCAGCTTGGGCTATATATATAAGACCTTGTCTTAAACAAAACTAAACAAAAGCAACAACAAAATCACTATCAACAAAAATACTAAAACAATAATAGTTTGATGACTGTGTAAATGCAATAAAATCAAATAAGACAAAGCCAGGAGTCGGAGAGATATCTTACCAGTTGGGAGCACTTACTGCTCTTGTAGAGGACCCAGGTTTGGTTCCCAGGACCCACATGACAGCTCATAAGTAAACCTCTCTTTTGGCCTCCTTAGGCAGTAGTCACATTTATGATGCACATACATACATGCAACACACAGACAGACAGACAGACAGACAGACACACACACACAGGCACGCATGCACGCTCAAAGTGTAACTCTTAAAGCAAAAAAGTCAGGCACAGTGGTACACATAATCCCAACACCTGGGAGGAAGAAGCAGGAGGATCAAGAGTTCAAGGTCATTCTCAGCTATACAAAAAGTTTAAGGCTGGGATGGGTTACAAGATATCCTACAGGGACTGGGGAAAGAGGGGAGAGAGAAAGGAGATAAAAGGAAAGAGAGGGAAAGGGAAATGGAGGGAGAGAGAGAGAGAGAGAACACGAATACACAAATGCCGATTAGCACAGATGTGAGATGGATCTGAGGCTGTCCCTCGGTGGTGGGACACAGGAATAAGACAGATGTTACTATAAAGGTCCTGGCTGGTTTTTTGTTTGTTTGTTTGTTTTGTTTTGAGGGTGTACAGTGAGCAAGAGATGCAAACTAATAAAATCCTATGCACCCAAGGTATATCTAATGTGAGGGTACAGGTAGTGTCCCAGAGATTCTGTTTGGCTTTGAGAAACAGTTGGAAACAAGATCTCCCCCTTCAGATAGCTCCTTACACAGGATATGTGGTTTTATTAAGTTCCAAGGTCCATCCACCACATGACCTTGACCATCCAACCTTTCCACAGTGGTTTTCCCCAAGGCTCTAACTTCACAGGGTTAGCTGCTGAGTGAGCAGACCAGTCATCAATCATGCTCATTTATTCTTCACAGATGAGAAGCCTGGGGCTCACACACACCCACATGGCATCTCCATCTCATAATTTTCTGTAACTCCAGCTCCAAGTGATCCGAGACACATACAGGCAGGCAAAACAGACACATACGTGCAGGCAAAAGCACCCATACACACACATAAAGCAAAATAAAAATAAAAAGCCCAGAGCAGGATGCCACTCTGCCAAGCCAAGGTCCTCACAAGGGGAGCCAGAGGCCAAGCTAGCTCACTTCAGCCACGTAAGGTGGCAAGGCTCTTGGGGCCCATGACTTGAGTCTCCATTCCTCTCCATCAATTTGCACATTTGTAATATGGGATAAAGAAAGACCTGTCTCAAAAGTGACATGAAGGCAAAATTTAATAGTTTGTAGGAGCTAGAAGAGCACACACTTCAGACCTGGGGCTGTTGCTGAGCAGTAGAGGAGTGACTACCAAGCATGCCCAAAGCCCTAGGTTTGATAGCAGTACAACAACAGAAAAGAACACATCTTGCCATAGGAACCATAATTATAGAGGGATACATGACTCCTTACACACCTAAACTTGCTTAGGGGAACGTGACCCCCCCCCACCTTTCAGGCATGGCAGCTGATAAAATGGGGTGAGTAACTACCAGGAGGGTGATCTCAGCTCAGAAGGGTGATCTCCACAGCTGGAGACTTTCTAAAAACTAATGGGTGGTCCAGAAGGAAGAGAAATAGCGTCTTACCCTGGAGATTGTGTGAACAGCAAGTGGGCCTGGGGTTCTGCTAGAGGTTGCTTCCCTTATTCTACACCCAGCATTCTGCCCTCTCCCCATCTTACTCCCCACATCCAGTTACTGGCGCTGAGTGTCTTTGGCCAGGACCCATATGGCCCAGGGGTTGGTTGGGTATGAAGTGAGCATTGGAGGAATGGGACCTATACATAACAGAGCTGAAGGAGTTTGTCCTCTGTTCCCACCGCCCACTGACAGAGAGACAGGGCTGCTGGGGACAGACTCTCCATCTTTATCAATATCTGATGCCAGGGAAAGCTGATTGAAGACCTGAAGTCTGAATTTGAGTCACGCATTTGAGCTGCCCTTTCCCTTTGACTTCTACAATGGTCGTTATTACTTCTTCAATAGCATTTATCCCTAAGGGTAGCTCAAGGATTAAATAAAATACATAAAATATTACCCGTGCGTCCTAGGCAGTCCATATATTCTTTCATTTAGATGTAGAGTCCTACATTTAAAACGTCTGGGCAAAGAGGGACTTAACAAAAGCAGATGAGGGTGGGAAGAAGTTGACGCCCCAGTAACCAGAACAATTTTAGACTTGCCAGACTGCAGCAGAGGCGGGAGGGGAGCTCTAGAGTAGATCACTGTTGCAGCAGAAGAGACCTACACCTTCCTGGTCTGGAGGGTGGAGCAGCCACAGGTAGGAGTATAGTAAGAGGTTGAGGGCGTTCCCGTCCAACCTCCTTTTGTGCGAGAGGCCGAAGAAAGGGCAGAGTGCTTGGCAAACTAAGCGGGCAGGAAACGCATGAAAGCGAGTGAAACATTCCTAATTCTTCCCTGGTTGGTTGTGGGTGGTTGGTGTTTTATCTCTACAAAGCTCGGAGGAAGCGGAGAATCCGGCCCGCAGAGGGCGCAAGAACCACGTACTCAGACCGCAAAAAAGGGACAAGTGGGGTGTAGAGATTAGAGGTTGCCAAGACCTAGAGGGTAGGCGAGGGCGTGGCATCTGGGAAAATGGAGGGGGAGTTGTGTGTGATACTCCTGAGGGGTGGGACTTCCAGAGCAGCATTGGGTGGGTTCAGGGACAGTCAGCGATGGACAGGCCACAGGGAGGTGGGATATAGGTGGAGCGTTTGAGTGAGGGGCGGAACATGGGCGTGGTGCAGCGGGATTCGCCGCCGAAGGATGGGCGAAAGGCGTGGTCTGAGCAAGGTGGGGAGTCGCAAGGGCTTGGGTGGGCCTGCCCCGCCCACGTCACCCTGGGTCCCACCTCTTTTCCGGCCAGGAGAGTTTCTGTGTGTACCTGGGAATCGGTGTGTACCACAGTTTGTGGGTCTTGGGTTGCCATGTTGGAGCCCCTCCGGCCGAGGTTCCTGCGTGAAAGGGGCTGAGCAGCGATGCTGCATTCTGTGGAGCTGTGCACTCTCTGAGCTCCCGTGTATCTAAACGAGTCCCCGGGGAAGATCAGCCCGCAGCTTTCCCGACGGACTTCTCTAGAGGGTCGTTTCGGTCTACAAATATTCAAGCATCTTGTTTCTCCTTCGGCTCCTCCCTGATTCCCTCCCCCAACGGCGTTCCCAGCCTCG